TGGCTACGCTTTGTTACCTTTCCCCTTCGTAGTAATTCCTCACGCTCTTTGTAATCTGTCTCCTTCTCAATATTTCCTCTGCTCCTGCAACCACTTTTTGCTGTTCACAAGTGCAAGGGCAAAATAAGCTGTTCAATTTTGCCTGTGCTTCTGTGTCTGTTATTGCATCAGAAGGCCCTGATCTTTCCTGGGATATTCTTACGAACTCAGCATAAATAATACAAAACAATAGTTGCAGTTACTTTGTGATCTTGAATGAATCACCTTGACTAGAAGTCAGGGAGGTTACTTATTTCATCAGAATAGACTACAGTCAGTCTTGCTGAGTGGATGTTAACATTTTTAGGATCTCTGCTGAAACTTGCTGTTATAGTTAGGCAACTTGTAAGGTATTTCACAGCTGAGGCTGCCAGTTCTGTTTTTACTCAAGTAAGTGATAGAAATACTTGGCCCAGCACAGCATTTAGAAAAGTATAGGTATGTCAAATGAATTACACCTGTTACAGGCATCAGTCTATTGCTTATGGGCTAGTAGTTTCAGTGCAGTGAGAATAACCACACCCAAGGATGATATGGGAAGGCATTGGCAAAACTGGATGGAAAGAGTAGAACAAAACACGTACTTGCCACCTGCACCTACCTGAGACAGCTCTCTAGGGTAGGAAAGGTAGGAACGTAGTAACGAGAGTCACAGCTCTGGCCAGAGGCTGCTGTCAGCTTCAAATCCGCTTAAGGCAAAGGCTGGGTAGGATAAGCATTAAACTGACATCTTGGCTAGAGGCACTAGAATGTCTTGCTACAGCTTGGTTAAAATTGACACTGACCAGCACGTCACTTTTAATTTGATCTAGCTCATAATTGACAAGATCTGTTTTGATCAAATGATGAATTTTAGTTTCAGGAGGTCACAATGTATCTTCTTTGCTTGGGCTGGGTAAAGCTTCGCTCTGGAAGAAGTCCTGTTGGAATCAGCAGGCACTTTTCAGATGAGGGGCTATGCAAAAAAGTGCATCTGGTTGGGACAGTGGCTGTTTGTAGATGTAGTGTTGCTATATAAGCCCTGAAAATCAACAGTATCCGGCTGGCTTCCCCACCACTCCCTTCTGCCTGCCACAGGCAGGGCAATCTGGTTCTTCCTATTCCTTACCTGAGTGCCCTGAGCAGGGACCTAGGCACATATCTGGTACGTACTGTACTGCTGTGACATGCAGCGTGCAGGGCTGGAACTACATCTTTGTCAATTTACTTTAGGCAACAGGGACTGAATAGCTGCACTCAGCAGACTGTGTGCCACATTCTTTCTTTATCTCCCTTATCCTTTTTGTTCCTGCATTTACTGGTTTTCCTTCACGTTTAATGGTTTTATTAGGCAGCAGCGTCAGATGGTGCTTGAGAGCACGTTCATAAACAAAGCAAGCAAAACACAAACCTGGCTGAAAATTGCTCTTTGTATTGGCAGGACAAACAGCGGAGATTTGGATGGGTGTTAATGCCAATCCCTAAGACATCCTTAATACTGCTTTCAGGGCTGGGGGCATGTTGACAAAGGAAAGAAGTAAACTGCTGTTTATAAAGGTCATAGGTGATACCATGGTAGCACTGCAGGGATTTTTTTAATGAGTTGTATTAAAGTAATAGGCATTGATACTTAATCAGTACTGCTGGTATTAGTCACCTGGTCTTGTTCTGCTCTCTGTGAGGGCGCTTCCGAGCATCTGGTTTCCCTCCTGCTTGTGCTGCTTGAACAGCATCGCAAATCGCTGGGGCAGGACTTCAGGGCAAGTTAAGCCAAAAGGACCTGAGGAACAGGTGAGGTGTTATGTAGGGGGTCTTATCACTCAGGGACCTAGAAGAGGTTGAGAGTGCTGGCAGTACTTTGTGCTGCAGACCACAGTGTGGGACAGAGCACTCCAGGGTGGGTTCTCCAACTCCCACCTGCCCTGCCATCCCCCTCCATGGAAAAAAAGACTTAATGTATTGCAGCACTTGATGGTGTCTTGACATACTGGGATTCTGAAAGATTCAGTGGCTTTTGCACACTGTTACCTTGCACTACTTACTGCTTGGTAAAAAGAAGGAGAAAAATACAGTAGGATGAATATGGGGGAAGAGCTTAAGAGAATAATGGCCAAAAAAAAATCTTAAATGCATCTCCTGAGAGTTTAGCAGGATTATGAGGATCAGGGAAATTGCCTTTTTGCCTGTTTCATGATTGTTGCCCTACTGGTCTGTGCACTCTTGCTTATATTTGAGGTCTTCCACAGGCTGTTCCTGCTGTTTGAAGGAAGTGTTAGGGGTCAGGTGTCGTACCTGATATTGTTGAGGCAGGTGTTTGCAAAGTGCCTGAATGAAAGCTGGTTTCCCTAAATGCTGAAGGAGGTGGGAAACAGCAGGCAGGCTCCTTGTTCAGAGTGCGCAGCTCCACCAAGCTCTGTGGTCCAGAAACTGTTTGCTTCCTTTTTGGGTAAGCATCACAGCTACCTACCCCTCTAGACTTTCTGCCTTCAAGGGACTCAACTTGAAATCCAGTCCAGTGATTGCTCTTTCTGACTGCAGAAAGTCCCCAGTCCTTGTGGCTGAGAGCTGTGCAGTGTGGGCTACTGCTCTGAGCCATAGGCGCTGCTGTGTGACCACCCACCACGCAGGAGCACCCATGAGTGAGTGCTTGGCCCATCTTTTATCTGTAATAAGCCAGCACAGGAGTGACTCTGGATCTGGGACCCTCTTTGTATTAGCCGTTAGAGCATAACGATGTGCTTGGATTTGATTCGCGTAGTTTTACTATATTATCACTCGCATGACAGAGACTGTCCAAGGCTCTCTTGAACCTCAGGTCTCCAAATCTGGAGAAATATCTTTGGTGGCATAACTGGGTCAAATAAAGACCAACTGCTCCCAAGTGAGCGTGTTTCTTCACTTGTGGCTGCAGCTTCTGCTCCATCTACGTGTGCTTGCAGGCCTATGAGAACAGCCAGTTTAAAATCCTGCTCCATCCTCAAAGTAAAAGCTGTTTGTTAACTCCAGTGAGCTTAGCAAACTGTTTTATGGTGCTGCCTTTCAACTAAGTGTGCTACCACAATAGAGGAAGTGAAACTGAGGCGTAAAACCAGAAATCAGCACACTGATGGGAGCTCTAGGGGACGAGACTTCATATGATAGTTCTGGTTCCCAGGCCAGTTTGTCGTAAAGATAATTAGCTCAATGAAAATGACGTGAGATGAGACAGAAGCCTTGACTTCAGGGAGAGCTGTTAATACCACTGGCAGTAGGAGTTCTTTGGAAGCTGTGCTTCTGTCCAGAGATAAAGTCAAGGATATAACTGTGTTCTACCTCCTCGCTTAAGCCCCACTGACATCCTGCTCCTGCGTAAGTATTTTCCCAACCTGAGTCTTGCATTGTGAATAGTTACAAACACTCCTCTGTGGCTTTTATTTTGATCCATGCTCTTCTGAGATACCTTCTTTTCCAGAGCATGTGAAAAGTGTTGTCAGGTAAAATACATTTTGATTTTCAGGACCTAATAAAGTAGTGCTTTTCCCATTGGAGCATACGCTGTCAGCAGGATAAAGGGTACTCTAAAGAGTTAAGAAAAGTAATTGTTTCATCAGATTATGTATTAGTTCAACCAGGCTAATGCACTGTAATATCTAGACAAGCCCTATAATTGGAGATGGTTTCAAACAAGCTTTTAGCTATTCATGTGCTCCAGCTCTAAGTTAATTTCACATCTAAGCCATTAAATAAAACAAACAAACAAACAAAAAAAACCCCGAAAAACCACAAACCAAAACCAACCAATCAATAAAAAATAGGCCATTCATTAAAGACATCTTGTAAATCAGGTTGTTTACAGACAGGGGTGTGTGTGCTCTTTTTCAAAAGCTTGGGACTATTTTTTTCTCATTTTGCAAAATGCGTGCTGAGTCTGAAGAGTCAAAGTCCGTGATCTGTCTTGCAGAACCACCTTTTTAGTGCATGTGCAAATCATCTGACAGTAGTCTGAAGTATCTGCACTGCAGTCGATTCTGTGTGTACCCAACATAGAGGAGTAAGGTTTCACTTGGGGATCTGTAAGAAGAGTCAGTAGTTTTTCAGTCATGTTAGGAAGGAAGATGGAGCTTTGACTACAATTTTTTGTCGAATTCTTCCTTGCCTCTCTGCCCAGCACAGTTTAAATGCTCAGATGGCACAGACAAGAGAATGAAGAGGGTGGATCAAGACTCTGCCCACTGCATAGCCCTCTCTAGTTAGCCCCTACCTGTGCGTAAAAGGGGAGTAATGTGCCAGAGATCCTGCTTTCCTTCTTCCTCTGCTGTCCTTTAGGATGAGTCACACCTTATGAGCTATTATAAAGAAAGTTAACTCTATCCTAGCCAAAACCAGTACAAAAATCTATGCTGCGTTTCTGCAGCTCGCCATGGCTTGTAAGAGACAGTCTCCACAGTTAACCGTGGAAGGAAGCATTTAGCCTGCTTTGCTAATGGGACCTTTCTAGGAAAATACGAATCTGAATGAACAAGCTAGCGTGACCCAAGTAATCTGCTGACTCTGATATGTCATACTGGTTTTATGCATTAAAGGAATATCAGCGTAACTTTTCTACTTAGTTATGAGGGAGATCAGTTTCTGATGATCAGCTTGTATTCTGAGATACAGCAGTTGAGTGTTTCTGGAACTTGTATAGATGTGTTAATCTAAACATCCAAGAAATTTTCATCTGCTCTTTTTCTGTTTTCACATCTTTTACTGCTTCCTCCACTTAACAGTGCTTCAATATATGCTAACTACTTCTGGTATAAGCAGCACTGTGTATGTGTGTGGATACACAGTGAGAATACTTTGCCAGCTACTTAGAGCAGCTGCCTTTAATCATTCTGTCATTAAATGTCTTCGCAGATAAAATGTTGCATTTGACAGTGTTCATTGATGCAGAATCATTTTGAAATCAGTCTGACTTAATTATTTTTATACACTTCATTTTTGTCTTCATGTGCCTTCAGGCTTCAGACTTGATTATCACCCCAGCTACGACTTTCAAGGAAAAACCAGACCCCAGTGGTCTGGTATTTGGAACTGTATTCACTGATAATATGCTGACAATTGAATGGTCCTCAGCTTCAGGATGGGAGAAGCCTTATATTAAGCCGCTTGAGAACCTGTCGTTGCATCCAGCCTCCTCGTCTCTGCATTATGCTATAGAAGTGAGTACTGAATTGATTTGGAAACTGCTATTTGGTTTCATGAGCTCTTGAAGCCATAGCTTTGTAATACAAGGACTATTACTGTCATAAGTTTATTAGTATTGAGTTACATTTTGTTTTATTAACTGATGTCCTTCCAGAATAATTCCATTCTTTACAACAGGGGTATGTTTATGTTGCTATAAGTCAGAAGCAACTCTGGCCTGTGGATTCTAGCTCACTTATCTTTCTAGCCTAGTGAAGGTGACCTCTTCCTTGTGTGGCAACAAATTCATTTGAGAAAGCATTCTAATTCACTGATGATGGATCACTTCAGTTACTGTCTCTTATGTAACTTAATGAACCGCTGGATAAGACCATGTGAGATTCCAAGAGTAGCTTTAACTTGGGCACTGAACACGCACTCTGTGAAAGTTATTTTAAGCTGTTTTAAAGGTTCATAGCTTGGATTGCAGGACAGACTAGACAGATGCTTGTTAGCAACTCCAAATAAGTCTGGAGAGCTCCGAACTACATCTTGACACATTCAACATACGCAAGTGATTTAAGCAGAGAATATACAACAAGGAACTTTGGAAAATGAAATGTTAAGTCGGAAACCAGCGTGGTTAACTGTTTCCATGCTTAGCTGTTTACTGTCGAAAGCTGCCTTTTGTGTCTCCAGGGCTGCTTTGGCTATACTCATATCTGTGTGAGAGCCTCAGTAGGGCGCGTATGCTGAAATGGAAGCCTGCTTCTCCTCCCACTTCTGGGTAGGTGGGAGTGTCTCCACTGGAGTTAGTGGAGTTGCTTGTGCTTCTTTTATTATTTCTTTTTTTTTAATCACTAGTATAAGGGAAGGATCAAGCTTTCCCCTGCTTGTTGTGCCTCAGCCCCTGCCTTCGTTTTTGTTTTTTTGTTGCTGTTTTTTCCCCATTTAATCACCAGGCCTCCAGAGGTCCTGTGTAAATTACAACAGGACCCTGTGACTTAGGCTGCAGCTCTTGATCTGCCCAAGAAGTAAGAAACCACGCTGGAATCCCAAGTCTGTATTTCATTCTTAGTAACACATTGCTTTAATGATCAGCCTCTGACCCAGTCTGAAATTATTGCTAATATGAATATGCTCTTATATTTTTCCCATTTTTTTTTTCATTCTTTTACCCTTATTGCATCACGTTTCCTCTAGCCAAGAGGACAGACAGAGGAGAATCTGGTGCCAATGCTGTGGCTCAATGAATACACAGTGGGTATAAAAAAAATGATGAATTTGGCATTCCCTCCCCTTTCTCCTTGCCCTCCATGATGCAGTGTGATAGTCTGGATCTGATGAACTCCAGATCCAACTCCTGTGATGTACAGATGTCAGATAACATTGTTTGCACACCACTGTAGCAACCAACCATCAAGCAACCACAGCAGTTGCTTTTATTCAAGTTGAGCATTTCTGGAACACATCACTCTCTCCCTTTTCAATGAGTGAAAGGTTTTACTGAGGTCTGGAAGGTTAAAAGTATTTATTTTTGGAGAAAAAGGTTTAACAGCTTGAGAAGGCTTTGTGTTTCAGTAATGATATGATTCTTGCTTCTCTCAAACCATTTCTCAAATCTTAGTAGTAACTTTCCTTCCTCTTCCCTCTCATTACAAGTCCTGTGAATGTGTTTGGGAGAAGGGTGGGGGGAATCAACTGTTCTGTGATAAGAAAGTAGCATTACAGAAATATGGTATTAGTTAGTAACTGGCCCAATAAAAAGCATGTCAAAGTATCAACCATATCACCAGCTATGCCATCCTTTATTAAAGTTAGAATTTTTTTCTTGTAGCTGAAATGTCTATCCTAGGGACAGTTTATTCTTCAAAACTGCGTACAAAGCTTTTAATATAGTTGGCATTGCCATAGGAATAAGATCAATTTTGAAGGCAAAAAGTTTTGGGTTCTAATTCTGGTTCTGCTATTTAGTTGGCATGTAGCCTTAGGACAATTGCTGGGATTCCTGCAATCCAGTTACAACCCAATTAAAATTTGTCATGTGGAAGGACCTAGCTCTGTCATGGGACTGTACAAAAGCTTTCTAAGCATCACATTTCACTGATCTTTATGGCAAAATGACATAGAATTTAACAGTAAGGAAATCTTGAGTATTCTGCTAAAATTACTTATACGTAGATACAGGATTCTTTTTTCCAAATAAAAAACCTGAATATGTAGACTTCCAACCAACCAAGAAAGTATTCCCAGACTTTTTTCATGGAATAGTTAGGAGGAGAAGTCCGAGGAGACTGACAGCAGTGATGCAGTTCAATTCATAGAATTTATATTGAAAATTAATGTACAAAGAAATGCTTTAGAAAATAAATTCTAAAAATCTGAACTCTTGTCTATAAGCTGAAGTGATCCTTTAATACTTAATCTAGATAATACCTGTATATATGTATATAATGTGAGCTTATACAATACATGTGTTTTCTGTCTAGAACTGGAAATTATCAATCTGTAACTGAAAATAGCTATGGATATTTTGTGGGCATATGTGTTTTGCTGTGGTTAGGAGATGCTGTAGAGCATTTTGCTGGAAGGGCACTGGTGGCATAAGGGTTTCTGGTAAACTGATTGTCGACACCAGTCATCCGGAGTCTGCAGTTTGATGGGATAATTTTGAGTAATTTAAGTTTCCTGTAAAGTGTAGATAAACCTTTTTCATGTGTTCTTCCTCTAGTGTAAGGCTGATGCATCTGTCTGTCATGCTAGCTAAATCCCCTTCCACAACGTAGGGGTATATGGGGGAAATAAGTGATCAAGATTTTGCTACTACAGCAAGAACTGCAACAGAGTTCACTTAATTAGCTGATTCTATGCTTCCTACCAAAATGCATTTTGGACAAAACCCTAAAAATTATTAACATATATAATTAAATTTTATAGACTCTTTTCCATAAGGGAGAATACTGTTTTGGCTGAGCCTTAGGTATCAGTCAGGATGTGAGGGAATAGTTAAGTCAAACACATGCAACGAATTTTAATTGTTGTAACCAAATTATGAAAAATATGGTTATCACTAAGTCCCCTGATAGAGAAAGATATATATGAAGCATAGGCAGGTTGTCTTTGTAATACAAACTTCATAATACTACCTCACAGGAGTGCATTGTAAGGATTAACTAGTTAGCATTTATGCTTTGAGTGAGTCCTGTGAGCAGGACTTTTATTTCCAAAAAGCGTGTTCTGCTTTTGCACAGATCATCACAGGATAGCGTGTCTCAATCATTATTTGATTTCTTTTCCCTCCTCTTTGACTTGGTAGTTATTTGAAGGAATGAAGGCTTACCGAGGAGTGGATGGCAAAATCCGCCTGTTCCGGCCAGCCCTCAACATGGACAGGATGGCGCGGTCAGCAAGACGAGCAGCTCTGCCAGTACGTAGCCAAGGCATCTTACCCTCCTGAAGTCAGAGGCTATTTTTGTTTTCAGAGTGCAAATCTCTGAAGCTTCGCGGTAGTGTAACACTTATTGAACACTCTTAACTCTTGAATAGTTCAGTTAAACTTTGTTAAGAGATCTTATTCAGTGAACAGTTTTAAATGCATTTTTCTTTTAAATCACAACAGTGTTTTGCTGTCTTTGTTGTCTCCTTTCTGCCTCAGATGTACACAGTCTATTTCTGAGGGGTGAGCGCTGTTCTGCAGGCATTTGCATGCAGACAGCTGGTGAAATTGTTCTGGCACTGATGTTCTTCCTTTTCTTCTTTCCACTTCAGTTAAGTCCTTCAGCCTCTGAGTGCCTTCATTCTTGGTCACGCTAGCAACTTAACGCTGCTTTTAACAGTTGTATACTGTCCAGTGAATTTCCTCCCACATTCATTAGCTTTATTACTGTAAGAACTTTGCAGCTTTGTAAAACTGGGAGATCTGGTGGGTGCCTCGGAGTTATAACCCAAAGCACTCTTCTGCAGAAGAGGTGGTGCCATAGCTTGCAGCATACCAAAGTGAAGGTGTTGGCTGCACAGGGAGTTCTCCCATACGCATCAGAGGCAAGAAGGGTCAATGGCTCCGTTTCACTATCTCAGGAAGATATTTTATAGCAGCAGGAGGGCATGTAGGACAGTAAATAAAAAGGCACAGTGGAAAAGACTATGGGATTTTAAATTCTGTAAGAAATTAACTCAAGGAAGATGATGTAGTCTTATGAACCTCTGCGGTTCACTCTGTGAACCACTCGGTTCACCTCTATGTCACTGTGACATATCCTGATGACGTATTCCCCTTAGCATAGGGATTTATAAAGACCACAGAATTCAGGCTATATTTCTGCATTTGCTTTTCTTCCTTTCCTTTTCCTTACCAGTGTTTTGACCAGAATGAGCTGTTAGAGTGCATCCGGAAGCTCGTGGAAGTAGAAAAGGAGTGGGTCCCGCACTCCACCGCTGCCAGCCTGTATATCCGTCCTACCTTAATTGGAACTGAGGTATGAAACATTTTTTTTCCCCTCTTAACTTTTGTGTATTTAAGCACGAGGCAAAAGCCTCCATCCATAAAGAGAAACATGGAGCAATCGCTAGAGAACGTATTACAGTTCAGGGGCAAGTTCGTCACCTGTAGCTCTACTCCACAAATGTATGTTGAGCACACCACCACCTAGTGGGCACAGGGATTCGTGGCACCGAAAGGAGACTTCTACCAACTATTTGGAGTGGTAACGGCAAAATTTAGACTAACTTTGGTTTTGTAATGAAAGATTAATTCTTTATGACATGGCAATGTATGCCTTTAAAATAATAATCATCCAGAGAAAATGTGAGGGGAAGGAAATTTCTGTGTAGATTTTGTGATTTCATCTCATACCTCCATCCTGACCTTAGTCAGGAGATTTTGGAAGATTCTACCCAGTAAATTAAGATGACTCTTCTGAGAGAGACTTTTAGCAGAACTAAGAACAAGTTCTTGTTTCAGTTTACTCTTGAACCCAGGTAAACCTGACCTTTTAAGAGGCTCCTTAGCAACTTGGTATTAGTGTGCATTCTGTGAGTTCCATGTGGATGTGAGTCAAGCCTATAGTATTTATAAACAGAATTAGAAACAGTGAGTTGATTTTATTTTAATTAAAACTTTAAGGTTTTTTTTTTTATCAGTGAAAGAGACCTATAATGGTAGAGCATAGGACAAGGAAGCTAAAGAATGTATGGTGCCAACTAGGCAAGTTACTCTTCTGCAGTATCCACACCTGTAAGTAGTTACCATACACGAGCATTATACATTTCACATGTGTTCTAGGACTCTATTAATTTAATGCTTGTAAACTAGTTGCAGATTTTCAGATGGAAGGATCTCCACCCAGTGACTGTAAAGTATTAATACTAAAAATTGATTTTTTTTTTTTTTTTCTCTGATAGTGTTTTTTGGAAATTCTTTTGTTGTTGATCTTAGTTTCAGGTTAGCCAACATATCTGGCCTTTCCACGATGTCATATGTTGTCTCTGTGTTGCATGTCGTGCTAAAGTTTTATGAATGATCACAATTAGGAAACCTAGTCAACACAATCTTTTGAACAATAGTGTAAAAATCGAGGAAAAATATCAAGATCTCAGATAGTTAATCTTTCTCTTGTTAAAAGTTTTGCTGAAGGACTAAGGTAGAAAGAAATCAAAAGAACCCTCTCAGCAGCAGAGAAAGGCTTATAGGAATTTTCCAGTGGTTCCACTATTACGTTATTATTTTTCCTCACACCTCCCAGTTTCGCTTCACATGCTTTGTGCACAGTGTTTTGCTTAGACCTTTGGTCCTAAACGTTTAAGTTCATTAACTTTTTTTCAATGGAGACCTAATCTTGGAAACCAAGTATGAGTTTGTTCTTTTTGAGACTGGTTTCTCTGAATGGAGAGAGAATAGTAACCCATTCAGCTGCGTAGAAGATGCCAAGAATCATGGGCAACCAGATGGACATAGCCCTGCTTAAGTGGGGGGGCTGGGCAAACTGATCTCCAGAGGTGCGTTGTAACCTCAATCATTCCATGATTCTGTCACTCCTGAGCTTTGCAAAGCATGATACAGTCAAGCAGAGTCTCCTAGCACACAATTCAGATTATGACAAGTGCCAGACGTTTCACCTTTAAGTATTGATGGTGATGACTTGAAGTGTGAGAATCCATCTCTCAGAGAGAAGGGGGGAAAGAAAAGTGATACATTCCAGGTTATTTCCTGTGCTCTTATGTGAACCATTTCCAGCAGGCAAATCGTTTTAGCTTGTCACACAGCTGTTCACAGAGCCAGCACTCAACTCTACCAATGCCAGTTCTAAGCAGCATTGACCAATTCTAATCACTAATGCAGTTGACAGTGGTTCCTCCGCTGTTGTTATTATGTTGTTAAGGCAGTGGCCCTTGTCACTCCCTCCCCAGAAGGCTTTCAAAGCTGCTGCTGTGATTAATTCATATAATTATATAGTATCTTGTTAAGCTAATTTCTGAATTCTCAAAAGCTTGAAGCTTGTTTGAGAAGATTAGAATAATATATAGATAAGTGAAACAGCTGTAAGTGAACAGTGACAGTATGTAAAATTAGTGTTATGTTGCTTGGTTGGAGGGGGAGTTATATAAATATTTTATCTTCATTGCAGCACTTTGCATTATTATGGTAAAAGCACTCTCATGCTGCAGGTCATCTGAAAGCAGTGTTTCGGAAGCTAATTGTGCAGCATCTGATGTTTGGAGTGAAGTATACCAGTAACTCTTGATTTGTTTACATTCCTTATCTTCAGCCTTCCCTTGGAGTGAAGAAGCCGACTAAAGCCCTACTGTATGTCATACTGAGCCCTGTGGGCCCTTACTTTGCAAGTGGAAGCTTTAATCCAATATCCTTATGGGCAGATCCAAAATATGTGAGAGCCTGGAAAGGAGGAACAGGGGACTGCAAACTGGGAGGGTAAGAAAACATATTTCTGCACCTTCTACAGAGCTCACAAAGGAGATTTAGTTTTTAGTGACCAGCAGAAGTAGAGGTATTAAACACAGCAGTTAAATAATGTACTATAACAAAAATTTCAGAATTGTACTTTGCAAATATTATTTTTAAAGTTCAGTTAAATATTTTTGTCTGGATATTACAGCTAAATAGACTATTTGTAGAGGCAATTTTGCAGCATCTCAAGCTGAGGAACTGGACCTGGAAGATGTCCATGTAATACTTTGGCTGTTCCCCTTGCATAAGTTGTCACTAAATATATCACTTCTATGATGCAGCATTCAGTATAGCAGCCTGCTGCCAACTGGGCAGTGAGCAGCGTTGACTGCTGACCTCCTTCCTTGGCAAACTGTCCTGACAAGCCATCTGCAGGTAGCTATGGGAGTGCGGGTGTGTAAGGGAAAGCATGAGGCAATTATCTGCATTGACTTGACCATAATCTGGCAGTTTTCTACTGAACTGGGCTAAAGCACCAGTTAGAAACATAATTTTTAACGTCCGGGGACTTGACTTGTAGAGCGAAGCTGCTCAGGACTTGACTGGAGCAAGCAACTTCGAAGTGGCTAAATAAAAGACCGGATTATACATCCTTGGTCTTTGGTTTAAATGAAGCTGATGATTGTCTCTACCCAGGTGTTTCTCTTCTAGGCAGGAAGTTAGTAGTTGTCAAGTGCTGCTCAACTGAGCTAGAATAATCAAAGGGCAAGAAAACAGTTGTCCTTCATTCAGTCTGATGTTCTGAGACATTTACTGTTTGTTTGTGAGTTTTTGCTTAGTTTTAGAAGTATATGAATGGTTTCCTGTGTGTCCTTCATAAGAGCTGTGAAAAAAAGGAATAGTCTGGAGTCACTACTGACTTGTTTTGCACTCAGAGGTGAGAACTTAATTCCAGTGTGGTCAGCACTTAGGGTTGCTGACTTTGGGTCCTGATGGTTGTTGAACATCAGACGCAAAAGGGGTTTTCCTTCCCCTCAAAGCAGCTGCAGAGTAAATGCATACTATTCAGTTAGGTTCACTATGTAGGCAGTGTTTTAGGAAAACAGTTGCTCCTCAAGGATGTGGAATTCATCAAGGCCCATCTGCAGCTCCTGAAGCTACTAATTCTGTGAACATCTTTTACTAGAAAACGAATAACTCACCTCTGGTGATTTTTGTGTTCCAGGAGGTTCATTTGACATATATGACCCATCTGTTCATATGACATATATGATATGAGGTAGATGGTCTTGTTTTTCTTTTTTTGAATCCATGAGCTGGATGGGAATTGTTGTTCTCACTCCAAGATGCCAACTGCTAAATAAATATAAATGCTTTCCTAAGGTGTTTTTCTGGACTTTCTAATCATTGCAGTTAAATGGAACAAGAAGTATTTTAAAGACAATTTGGATTAATATGTTTGAGCTGCGGATGCTGTTCAGCCCTTCAAAGTTTTTGGGTTGTAGATACAAATGATCTAGTAAAATACTAGTAGAGTACTTCCAGTGAAAGTATTCCAGGGACAAACAGTGTCTGTGCAGAGCACTTGTTCATAAGGTAGATGTGTACACAACCTTGCATGGAAATGAGAAAATACCCAACCAGATACTTATAACTGTTTGCGCTTTCTTTCTGTCTCTGGAAGGAATTATGGTTCTTCTATTTATGCCCAGCAAGAAGCCCTGGAGTTAGGCTGCCAGCAGGTTTTGTGGCTCTATGGAGAAGATCACCAAATAACTGAAGTCGGAACAATGAATCTGTTTCTCTATTGGATAAATGAAGATGGAGGTATAGTAACACAAAACATGAAAACTTGAATAGAGTCAACAGTTGGGACTGCAATTCACAAGATGATTATTAGAGTGGAGATATTAAACTTTTTAATAAAGACGATTTGACAAAGGAAATACTTATTCTTTTCTGAAAACTAATAGGTGATTGTTAGTTATACCACTGTGAAAGAGGAGATTCTGGAGCAGCTGTGCGTACTACCTGCTGGTAACATACTAAACTGTTGGGCCAGTCCACATGCTCAGAAGGGTAGAGTCTAGCCATACACAAGGTCACGCTTCAGGTTTGCTGTCAACTCTAGCAGCATGCTTGATCTTGAAGGAGGTGTTGGGTCAGAAACAGCGCAGACATACTAAAGACACCTTGTGGCTGAGTAACTCTTCAAACGCTGTGGCTTTGGGCATGAGTGGTTCCCATCATCATTTTCTGGCAAATGAAGTGTTTCTGAAGCACTGCCAAAAGTATTTCAGCATCCAGCTAATGAAGAACTCAGCTCTTTGAAGAATTTGAAGTTCTGTCCAGTGGAAGCAGAGAGAGAAACATGTCAGTCAGTGTTCTACATCAGTAATGCTCAGATGATGCTTTCAAGATATACCATCATTCTTGAAGCCATTTTTAGCTCTTTGTACCCTCAGTCATCCCTGAGCAATGTAGATGCTGATTAGGAAACTATCTAGTTAATAAGCAGCCAACTATTTAGGCATTTCAAGAACACCCATTGGGCATGCAAGCATTCAGTGCTTGAGAAGTGCTAGCTGCACCTGAGAACTGGTTCAGAAGACTACATGACTCTGAGTCCTTAAAGGATTGAGCCAATGAATAGGCCAGTGAATAAAAGGACACCTCCTGACTGCCATGAGTGCTGGCCCTCCATGAAAATTGTTATCGAGTCTTTGTATGGCAGCAGATGTAGGGGTCAGACTCTGATTTCATCATAGTGCCATGGCTACCCTCGAAAACTGGGGTTTTTCTGACAGTCCTCAGCTGCAGTACAGAGGCAGCACGCTGTGGGGACAGCAGGGTGCTTTGGGTAGTGTAGGGTAATGGGAATCCAACTACTTTACTCCCACCTCCAGTTTCATTACTTGTTCTTCTGCAAAATCTTTACCGTACTTGTAAGAAGAGGGATGATACTCCCTGAGTGTCGAATGAGTCTGTGAAATCTTGTGAATGAAACTATAAATATGAGAAATCTTGTAATTGTGGTTACAGCAGCAGTAGATTTGTCAGTGTGGCTAGGTGGCCAAATTCACGCCTTGTGTGACTTTACTGGAGAGACACAAATAGAAATTTTGGCTCATTCTGCCCAGGGAAGGGACACTGAAGGGGGGACATAATTAGAATTCGATGTTCTCATTGTACTTAAACCAGGAATATGCTGGAATTATCCAGCGGCAGCACTGTACAGTTCCAAACATCTGCCAGTCACTGTGTTACCAGTGTATTACTGAATAGTGCTATTGTGAGGTGGCCATAGCAAACAACTTGCAATTCATGCCACCCAAGCTAACTGTATACAGACAAACCTGCCATTTTGGACAACATGGTCATTAGTAGCGTTGGAGCACTTTGCTGTCTCCTAGGGAGTTGATTAATGCTTAATTTATGATACCTTTGGTTGATAATAGCTCTTGCTGCCAATGTGTGTCATCGCATACCTGCCCGTGGCTTTAGATTGTGATTTTAAAAGTGTTTGCCATTACGTCCTGTCATGTCACAAAGGATACTTACTTAGGCTGTGGTTTGGTTTTGTCATGCAAATTCTGCAGCTGAGAGGGATCTAACAAAAATAGTGAGGCACAAATTGCAGATCATCATCAAAAGGAAAATGTCCTTCTTCATGTGTTCAGAGGTCACTGCAGAGTATTCGGAACTGCTCTCCTTGTTGTATAACAAAACGAAGACCCAGCCCAGCAAAGCCTAGATGTGTTCAATGAGAGCAGGCTTTTCTTGCAAGCCTCTGCTATATACTTTGTTGCAGGATTGTGACTGAACATGACACACTGGCTCGGGTGGCAGGAGGAGCCTGGTAAAATGTTTCTTTTGTGACATAGAGGAGGGAGTAGAGGAGGAAACTACTCAATCTGTGGTAAAATGACATGTTCCATGCTGCTCTTGTATGCCCACTGCTGCTCTGGGTGAGGCTTATGATATGCCCAAATCTGGATCCTTGCTGTTGTATAAATACAGGTGTGTGTTGTTTCATTCAACAAATACTGTTTATGATTTATGTTCACAAAGTGAAAATTTTTGTCGTCCTATAGCCCCTTCAACTTGCCTCTTCACAGCACATAAAAATCCCAAGAGGCTGTTAACATTGAAACTTGTTTCCTTGAATAATGTCTATTCTTCTGCCTAGAATATAGGCTTGACTTTGTGGAAAACCTTGAATTTTAAACATATGTCCAGCCTGAAGGTTGCTAACTATGAAATCTGTGTGCATTTTCCAAAAATTCGGTTTCTTGAGGATGATTTGGAACTATCTGGGCTCTGCATCTAGCTCAAATGTTAAGTAATGCTTGAATGCTACTCACAATGCCTTAATATTTTTGTACTGTTATTAAAGTGGGGATTAATAGGGCCCGCTTCAAAATAGCTTACATAAATTAAAAATTAAATATGTTAAAAGGTTCTCTGGAACAGTCAGGTAAAATATCAGGCAAGTTTGCTTAGTTGTTCTGTAGGTAGAGGATTATCTGTGCTGCAGAAGTATCTTTTATGAGTAGACTGCTAACCAGATAAGGCTCATACCTTCTGCTGTAACAGAAAGCCATATCAATAGCATGGAGGAGGAGAGCAGCAGATGAATGAGCTGGCAGACAAAGAAAAACAAGGGAAAGTAATTGAGGAAAGTAAATCGACAGACAGGTGAAGATAGAGTAATTGCATGAGGGGACAACAGAAAAAAAAACCTGAGGGAAATAATGAGAAAGAAATAGAAAGGTCCAGAACAAGCTGGAAGCGGAAGTCAGCTATTAATAACAGTGAAATCAGGCTTTCCTGTGTTCTCCTCGACCCTGAAGTTCACTTGATATCTGTTAACCACTTTTGTAAAATGTATTTTGGTGAATTTCTCAGCGTTGTTATAGTGTGACTAGTACTGAAGGCATCCCATGTTTGGAATCCTAGCTTCCATATGGTCATGAATACAGGTGCATAAAAATGGAAACTTTGTAATATGCAAGACCTCATTTTAAAAATCGCTTTAGATGCTGATGGAGTTCCATTGTTACAGCATGCCTGTACCATGCCTGGCGTAATAGGGTGCTGGACTGATAGTGCTACTACTATAACAATAACAGTAGTCAACTGAAGAGAAACTCTGACATTTTTCCTTCAAATGCCTTCCTCCCTCTTTTTGCTACTATACATTTTAAGGCTTCTAGCCCATCAAAATAATTCAGAAGGCAAATGGAGTCTGTGAGCTCACAGTCTGGTTTTTTGGAGATGGACAAACTGAAGTCGTATGGAGCCTGGTTTGGCATCAGTTCACAGAGACGATGAGCTTTTTGGCATGCTGAGTTGTATAGCATTGTCATCTCTGCCGGATACCAGGAAAGCAGATGTTCCTTGGGTGGCCCGAGGCTGGTAGGCATCACATGACAAAATTCTACAGAGCAGGCTCTGTGAAACATTTTGAGACTCCCATGCCCTGTCTGCTCAGTGCTGTTTAGAGGCTGGTTTGGCCTGGCACCTTTTCAAACTAGCTCAAATCAATTAATATATGTTGTTGACCTTGAACAGGTTCTGGCCAAGACCTATGGCAAAATCACCAAGCAGAGAACATTGTCTGGTGTGTAGTTCTAATGTTTGGTATTAAGCTTCACATTATTTGAAGCTTTCTGTTAGAGGAAGGGGATCACTTGTACATGACTGGGTCACAAAAGCAGAACATGAGGTTTTCAGTGTTCAGAATCCGGTGAGCCCTGTGGCGCGTGGAAAGTTTTGAGGTCCTCTTCTATTGATAGTTGTCCCAGAATTAGGACCAGACAGGCATCACAATCAGGAGTGGTGCTAGACAGACTCCAAAAAAGGAAAGCTATTGTTCCTAACTGCACGAGAAAGAAGAGACCACTGCTGTACTGAGGAGTCTGGGGTAGGTTAGGGAATGGCACTACTAGTTAGTCAAACTAAAGCAGAATGTACAGCCTGTTCTAGGGCAACTTTTTTACACTTCCTGTCATGGCAGTTTACATCTATTACTTGTGTGTGTATGGATCCTCATAAAAGGAACGTGGAAGACAGAAAAAAAATCTAGTCCAAATGAATAAATCCAGGGATGGCTGCATTAAAAAGTAACAGACATTTCCTGAGAGAATGGACAGCGAGTAGCAGATTCAATGATCAATGCCATTTATTTATCCTCCGTTTCCTCTATCCCACCCCAGCTCCCAAAGCCTCCTCTTGCAGAGCGGGAGAGAGTCCATGCTGTAGTTGGTCTGGAGCTGTGCATGTGCTGGCTGGCAGGCAGTTTGTGCACAGAATTATCTAGCTGCCTGTTGAAAACAGAGTATTCAGCATCTGAGGTTCAACCTACTCTCTCAGTCCAAGGGTCAATATCGTGTTTCTCTCCTCTATCCAGCTGCAAGGTTTCACAGGACCTATAGAAACTTTTTTAAAACAGCTTCTCCTTTCAGACTGGTTCAGACAGGCCTGGCTTGAGTGATCTTTTGTGGGTAGGGAGAAGGGGACATAACAAAAACATGAAGAGATATATCTTGTTCTTTAACGTGACCTAGGTAAAAATTAATCAAGAACTTTAATGGTTTGTGGATTTAATGAGCAGGATAGTATCCTTATAAGATCAAGAAAGATAATGGATTCTCGTTGGTAAGAGAAAATGGTTAGAAAAAAGATATGAAGAGTATTACTGAAAGACTGTGGATGTCTTCACTTCTCAGTGCAAATCTGAGACTGTCTTAAAAGAGCCTGGCTGTCTGAAAGAGTAAATGTTCAGTATTCTCTGATAATAGAAACCCCTGAGTATGCTATGTGATGGTTTAAAATGAAAGGGATTGTTTAAAATGATAAATATGAACTCTGATTTGCTGAAAAGGTCAAATGGAAGGACAAAGACTACGTACAAACTTCTGTGTTGTAATTTAAGTATTTACCAAGTATGGATTACCGTTTATTTACCGTTTCATTAGTTATGTTAGATGAACATTTATCTAATGTTCTTTTTCAAAAGCAAACAAGAAAAACAAGCTAACAAATCAAACTAGTTAAGTAATTTGAATTGTTGGTGCTTTTGGAGTTTTATTAGGAGTGCTCTTTTTTTGTAAAGAGAAAATTAGGGGAAAAAAAGGATGTCCACTCTAAGACAAAAGATCATTAAGGAAGTCTTCTCTCAAGCTGCATTTGGCAAGCTTTCCACTGCCTTGCTTGTTCAGTAAATAAGCGTCAAAATTTCCGGGAGATGTTTAATATTAATGCTAGGAAGCAGGTATACTGAACCCCATACTCCTAAATTAAGTAAAGCAGTTCAAGGGAAGTCATGATCTGCCCTGGGATTGTAAGGTGTGGCTTTCCCTTGCACCTCTCTATTCTGAATTTGAAGGCTGGGTCATTCAATGGTTCCCAGTCGTAACACAGTGAATCCATAATACACTGAGGAATAAAATCTACTTCTAGGCTTTAGCCATATATTTATTAATGTATTAAATGTGGTTCTTCCTCACCCACTGAAGTATAGTTAAAATGTTCCAAACACTCAACAACAGCTTATTGAAATTGAATTTCTGTAACTCATGTTCTTATAGAACTCTGGTAAGTATTGCATCTTACTGTTTCTGATATCACTCAACTTCTTTTCAATTTTCATGTTTAGTGTAATATCAGTAAACATTATTTTTGTTTCTTTTTCAACCAGTGTTTCTATTTCTTTTGTGTTTGACAGAAAATGAACTGGCAACCCCACCTTTAGATGGCATCATCCTTCCAGGAGTGACAAGACAAAGCATTCTGGATCTGGCACGCAACTGGGTGAGTGTTTTGAGCTTGACAGTAATGGTTTCAACTATCATGTTGTAACATCGATGAAAGTAAGCATTCCTGGTGCTCAGTATCTTGAAGTTTAACTGATCTGGTCAAATCCCTTAACCTAAATGGGAACTAAGTGCATGCTAATCCATAGATTCCCAGCAACATCATCAGAATACCCACACCTGTCACACAGAACAATACCAAGCCTGTTAAAGTAGCTCCATATAATATTTAACATGAAAATTCTCATTAAATCTACTGGTACCAGCAACTTAAAGCAAGGAAACAAACAATTACCGTGCATGACCACAGCTATACTTCAGTCATCAGCAGCCTATTTCTCCACTTAGTTCTCATGGTTCCACCCTTGTTTCTAATAACTAGCACGCAGCCTAAAATCCAGCCACAGTCTTGAAGTCATCTGTCTGCTTCCAGATTCTAGTTCTGTAATGTCGCCATCCAAGTACTTATTTGGACACTTGGGACTACCTCCTGTCTTGAAATACAGCAGACTGTTCTCTCTGCCTGAACTGCATTCAAAGGTTTTATTGCACCTTGGATAAGAATACTATACAGCCCAAGGCTCGTCGAGCCCAATATCCTCACTACTGGTTTTGGCGAGCCTTGTGTTTGTGGCGGAGTAACAGCAATAACACGGGCATGTGTGATACTTTCCCCTTGGTGTTAACTCAGCTTCCAAACATCTGTAGCTGAAAGATTTCCTGAAATACACTTCACAGTTACATCACTTAAATCTAACTTGCAGTGAAGAAGGCTAGGCATGTACTTTGTGACACATGTGTGCCACTTGTTGACCTGCACTGAATTCTTATGTGTCTTTGTATGTATTGAGGCTCCCCTAGTGCAGATATGCCTGCACGCTTCTCAGTCCCGTCTCCTTTACAAGACAGACAGATATTCCCAGCTGACAGGACTTGTGTGTGAGATACCGCACTCACCTCAGTCCTCTTGTATAATTAGGTGTCTTCTGCTCTCACAAAGGTTGTTCTCTTCTTCGTGGCCTCCTTTCCTTCACCGATCTGAAACCCTGCTTACATGGTGTCCCTGCCTCTCTCTTCAAATACTATCGTGTGCAGAGCGCTAATCATGTTTTCTGCTATTGTAAGCATGTCTGTTCCATCTTAAAAATCTTGCACATAGAACAAGCGCTAAGCCTTAGTTTGGTCTGATAGGACAATAAAGATCACATAAATACATGAAAATTTCAAAGTTTGATGTTTATTTTTGTTCTTTAAACATGTCGCCTCAGACAATTGCCATGCATTCAATTAGTTGCTATGCATTTTTCAACACTTATAGAAAGTAGAACATTTCCTATGCTAAGACTATCCAATGTGAATTGCTTTACTCATACCTGCAGTACAGTTGATTTTTTTTATATGACAGCTGTGTGCAGGCTACAGTGTGAAATTTCATTAGGGATTAAAGAAATGTATCACATCTAGTTGGCATTATAGGTGGAATTAACAGAATACACTTTGCTTAGGAATTCTGTGAGAGTGGGATGCAAATCTCTTTTGACATAACTGAGTAATTTTTGTGTGAACTCTAGCATGCTAGAGACCATGAGTAGTCAGATCCTGTGTTACATAACCCATGTCTAATTCTGCTGTGTTATTCCTTAATGCAATATTGATATCCTGTAGCAAATCAGACAGAAGTGCCAGTTAGTCATCAGCATTGTATCTGGCAAGCCTCTGGCTTCCTTGAAGGTCATTCTTTTGATTAGAGTCTATCTTGTGTGATACTAGGAGGTTTGAAAAGATCACGAGATCACAGCCAAATCTTGGCTGGTTGCCACTAGGCTAATAGTTCTGTTAGACATGTTTCAACATGGAAAACAAAAATACAAACCATTTTTAAACTTTTTACCATTTTTATGGTTGATTCTTCTTGTGCAGGGAGAATTCAAAGTGTCTGAGCGATACATCACCATGAGTGACCTGACAGCTGCCTTGGAAGACAACAGAGTAAATGAGATGTTTGGTGCTGGCACAGCTTGTGTTGTGTGTCCTATCTCTAAAATTTTATATAAGGGCGAGGTAAGAAAATGTTTCTCCCCCCCCCTTTTCTTCTTTATTCAGAATTTTATCATAACTAATTGCAGCTGAAGCAAAAAACAAGTGAGATAGAAAAGGAGTGCTGCCAGAGGCTCCTGGAAAGATGAACAATGTCAGTATGTTGTTTCCCAAGTGAGTTACTACTATGTTCTCAGAAGAGAACTTTCCCTCTCGTCTTCTGGGGATGTTTAGTAGTTAAAATCATAAAATCTCAATTCCTGGGAAAAGGAAAAAAACACCCAATTCCCAACCTGTTTTGAAAATATAGAAAAATATTCTCCTGCATTTCTTTCACTGAACATTTTTTCCAAAGTTAAGACACCTGGGAAAGGTGAGGAGAGGACCGGCTTTTGTAGGGAACCAGATTCCTGAGCCACTACATTCTTTCCTTCTCAAGTTCATCTTTTCTCCACCTCTCATTGCAGGGAACCTAGCTCTTATGTAAGAGCTGTTTCAGGAGGGTGCACAGCTGCTTCCACCTACTCTACACAATATGGGAGATTTCTCCTGCATCGGTGGAATTCCATAGTCATTCAGCCTGTTAAGCTGACTTGATGCTATTTAGCCAGCACAAAGTTATTTCAGAAGGCTGGATTATTGTAGCTACACCTATGGATGTGCTTTGTTCCATTAAATATGACAAGTACAGTAAATGTCTGTTACGTGATAGTTCTTGAATTAATAAGATGGAATAGAATAGAACAGGCTATTTCAGTTGGAAGTGATCTACAATGGTCATCCAGTCCAACCCCCTGACCAATTCAGGGCTGACCAAAAATTAAAGCATGTTGTTAAGGACATTGTCTAAATGCCTCTTCAACACTGACTGGCATGGGGCATTGACCACCTCTCTAGGAAGCGAATTCCAGTGTTTCACCACCCTCTCGGTAAAGAAGTGGCTCCTTATGTCCAGTCTAAAAGTCCCCTGGTGCAGCTTTGAACCATTCCCACGCATGCTATCACTGGATACCGGGGAGAAGAGCTCAGCACCTCCCTGTCCACTTCCCCTCCTCAGGAAGCTGTAGAGAGCAACGAGGTTGTCCTTCAGCCTCCTTTTCTCCAAACTAGACAAGCTCAAAGTCCTCAGCCGCTCCTCGCAGGACATTTATTCCAGCCCTTTCACCAGCTTTGTTGCCCTCCTCTTGATGCATTCAAGGAGCTGCACATCCTTCTTAAATTGTGGGGTCCAGAACTGCACACAGTGTTCAAGGTGAGGCTGCAGCAGCATTCAATACAGTGGGATAATCACCTCTTTTGACCGGCTGGGTATAATGCGATTTGCGACGCACCCCAGGATGCGGTTTGCCCTCTTGGCTGCCAGGGCAGCCAGTATCAAATGTATTGATATTATCAGATGCTAAGATAATATGGGAGACATCAACATACTGAGTGTTGATAAGTACTATAAATGTACCTGTTGTGTTTATACACAATATACTTTGAAATGAAATACTGTATATAGTGTTTCTGCTTTTGCCTGTACAATATTCCCTGCGTTTTGGATAGATCTTTTGGATAAGCCTTGTTTTAAAAACAGCGTAATAATTCAATTTATCTAACTTTTCGCTGGCTCGGCATGCCCTCCTATAAAAACATTGCAACAATCCTTGCCTACTTGTAAGGAGGGCTAGAAAGCCCAATAAATATTTATTAAAATTCTTGGTGACCCTAAGTTTTTCACATATAAATATATATAAAGCTATTATTATTTGTTATTCTCTCTTTCTCCCTCCCTCCCTCTCTCTGCTCTATTCTTTGTTCAATGTCAGCATCTGCACATTCCAACCATGGAGAATGGACCTCAGTTAACAACCCGTTTCCTGAATAAGCTGAGTGATATCCAGGTAAGGTACTTCCTCTTCTTTAACTAGATAAAATAATGAAAGGTCAAAATTTTAAAACATCAGAAAATAGTCTTTTTAATAGCGGTGCTATAAGCACCATTATATAATAATATAGGCTATTTTGTTTGGTGTGATTATTATACAATTTTTTTTTTTTTTCCTTAAGGAAGTATGATATGGATGGAGAGTAATTTATTTTTTCGCTGTTCATCTCGGAAGCTGGATGAGAGTTATAAGATACGACTGTGTCCTGCTTTTGGCTAAAACAGAACTGATTCTCTTTTGGTCAATCTTCCTTACAGCTAAGCTCTTCGAAAGAGAACCAAAACCAGGACATACTGTTATTAGTGAAATCCAGTACTGTTGTTACAGGTTCCTTTTTAAGGGAAAATATAGATGAAGCATCTTAATAACTGCGATTATTGATTAGTCTACATTCATTTGTAAAGAGATGGGTGAAGAAGTAAGCACTCACCAGGTGCAGCCAGCTGATACCAAGTCTGTTTCTTGGCATCTTTCCAATCACAGAATGGTAGGGGTTGGAAGGGACCTTTGTGGGTCATCTAGTCCAACCCTCCTGCCGAAACAGGGTCACCTACAATAGGCTGTAGAGGACCTCGTCCAGGTGGGTCTTGAATATCTCCAGAGAAGGAGACCCCACAACCTCCCTGGGCAGCCTGTGCCAGGGCTCCGTCACCCTCAGAGTAAAGAAATTATTCCTCATGTTCAGATGGAACTTCCTCTGCTTCAGTTTGTGCCCGTTGCCCCTTGTCCTGTTGCTGGGCACCACTGAAAAGAGTCTGGCCCCATCCTCCTGACACCCACCCTTCAGATATTTATAAGCATTTATAAGGTCCCC